AACACAGGCAGAGGGAGAGAGACACCATGAGACTCTGTATCATTATATAGAATGAATCTAATTTATAACCTTTAACTGTTTTGGTTTAATGGATCTGGTTCAGTCTCACCGAGCTAATCAGGCTATGCGTGATGGAGTGGACAAAATAATCGAAAAGCTCTGTCGATATAACACATTACAATTCAACAGCACCACAAACTGCAGCCTCTGAAATAACTTAACAGTTGAATCAATTCTCTAAAACAATAAAGGATCATTACAGATTTATTAAAGGATTGTTGTATTGGAGTATTTTGTTTGGAGTCATTTTATTTCCAGCAATCCAACTCTTTTTGTACGACACAGTTGAAACCATCAACAAATCACAGCTGGACTTTATCTCTGTGGCTTCCCTCTGAGAATAATTGCCTAAACTCATTACACATTCTAACTGGAAGAGTCATCACTTAAAGTAGTGGGTGTCGTCCACGCGCCTCCTCTGGCTGTGAGACATTCAGCCTTTAAATCATCCAATACAGGCCAGTGCAGCTAAACCAGGTGTATTTGCAAAACATCATGAAGGACGCGGCTCTCATCCTGAGCTGTGGAATATTAGAACAACAAGACAATGAAAATATACAACAACGTGGCAGCTTTAAATCTGTTACTGACCACGGGATTCATTTCCTCTGACCAATCCCGTAAGAGCATGTGTAAAATAAAACGCAGTCTGTGTAAGAATGGGCTCAATATCCCCACGGGAGGATGGGATTCAGTCTCACTGTGCAGCGTCTTTATAGCAAATTACATTCTTCCACAGGTAATGAGCAAATGACAAATTCTATTGCAGGGACGCGAGGAGGCAGAGTCTTCACGCTGTGGTGTATTAATCTAACGTGTGACATTGACAGAAAGATGTTTTTAATCTATTTTCCAGTCTTCAGATCGGTGCGGCGAGGCGTGAGGCTGCTGCACGCAGAGTTTCGCCGCATCGCTAAAATAAATAAGAGCGGATTAAAAGGGGATGATGGATAGATGGACGCAATAACAAAGACAGCACATTGAAGAAAGTCAGCCGTCCAGAGTGAACCCGATATACTCGACTGAGCTGATCGACGTACTCCATCCTCCTCTTCCCTTTAGCCTAAGTGGTGGTAGATTTACCTAACCCCTGTCTTGACTTGGCCTCAGTCCCGAGGCACCTGGGCAGCAATAAAAACAGGTAAACAATCGGGAGGCTGGAGCATAGCAATAACAAAGTGGGACTAAAGGGGCTGTGTGACTCATTAAGTGTCAATAGCCCCCCCCCCAACCACACATATGGTTTATGCTGAACTGGACTCGGCACCCCTGAGAGCAGTCTGAGAGTTTAAAGAGCTGAGGAGTGGAAGCAAACAGCGGAAATGAGATTGATATTGAAATGCTATAGCTTCATTAAACATTTTTACTGTTCCGTGCCACAAAACTGACTTAAATGTCTTGGAGGGGACGGGGGGGGGTTCATAAAGCTGCTGATCAGAAACCATGACTCAAAAGATTATTTCTATTTCAGGTGCTGAAATTTGAAGTTTTCAAAACTCTCTTTCTGGCCTCAAACAAAATCTCCTCCACTCTGCTATACTGCTTCTGGTTCAGGCGCCACTCATCTCAGGAATATCTACAAAAAAACCTAAAAATCCATTCTTTCTATTCCAGCCAGATTCAGAAACATTTTGTCATCATAACTGTAACGGTCAGTGTGCTCTGCGGCCAATGGAATCGCTTTTAAAGGAGAAAACCATTTCTAATAATAATAATATGGGAACAGAGAATGGACCGTTTATCCTCCAGCAGCACCGGTAAGACAGCAGCGTTGGTGGTTAAAGCTAAACAAATCTGTCCAAGAACAATTCAATTCTTTATTTTAAAGTATATATTTCTACACTTTTATTTGTTTGGACTTGGAATCCACAGCTAGCCTATCGAGGGAGACTCGTAGCCACCGCTATTGATGCTCAGAAAAATATAGAAGAGAAGGTCAGGTCAGAACACAACGTAGGATTTTAGTTGACTAAATGTTTTTTGGAGAATGTAAGAATCACTTTAAGACTAACAATGATAAATAAAAATGCTAAAAAATAACGAGGAACAAGGTCTATCAACCAGATTTGACTTAACATCCCCCTTGTGTGTGTGTGTGTGTGTGTGTGTGTCTGCATGTTGTATGTCTGTATCTATATTATTACACTTTCTACCCCTTTATCACTCTGTAGAGCGCTATAAATAAATTGCTTATGTAAGGAGATTGTGCTCTAAAAATCAACCTGAACTTAAATCAGGGTAGCCTTTTGCTCTAAAGCCAAACGAGCAAATTAGGATGTTGTACTCGCTCATTTAACATTTTCCGTTATTTATCAGCACAAATCAGCTCACAGATTGACCTCTACTGGGAAAATGTGCTCTTTTCTTTATCACCCCGAAAGGTAAATGTCAGATTCACTTTGTGTCCCTCTGAAATACCAATCTCCGATCATTATTGCTGTCACCAACCGTTAAATGTTGCTCCGGCTCCAGGTTGGATTTGTATATCTGTGTCGGGGCTGATTGTTACAGTGTGTGAACCAAAGATCTCCTCAAACAGCTCATGTATGCAAGTTCTGTCTAACTACGGCTGCAGACGTACGTAGGGAGTGTTGGGGGAGTGTTGATGCAGTGCAGAGAACCACCTGGATTGATTATTTTGTTTTCTGGAGATAATGAGATAAATCAACTTGATGCATAAAAAAATAACTGCAAGCATGGCTGTTTTTGGGCCTTTCTTACCAAAGATATGTTTCAGCTAGTTTAGAAACAGTGTCTCCGTCACACAGTTTGTCGACCGGAGAGCACTAACAAGTTTATTTTTCAGCTGTATCTTATTTATCATATCTTAGTCAGTCACAGTTCTTTAATAACCATATCTAAATGTTTGTTTAAGATTTACGTTCGTTGGTATGCCCAAAACTGCATGGGATTAGCATAAAGTGGACAGACTCATGGGTTCCCATAGAACCCATTTTCATTCAGATATCTTAAGGTCAGAGGTCAAGGGAACCCTTTGAAAATGACAATGCCAGTTTTTCCATCGCCATAATTTAGCCTCATTCCCGACATGCAAGCATGACATGGTTGGTACCGATGGATGCGTTAGATCATCTAGGTTCATATGACACCAGTTCACTAGAGCTTTAAAATGGAGCCCGCTGAAAGACAGTGTGGAGTGAAAGAGCTTGTGGTCACTGCAGCTGAATTGTCAGTTTTGTCTACTCATGAGGATGTGCACAGTTTTATGTAAAAGAGACAAAAAGATTTGGATTTGTCGACATTTAAATGAGCTCTTTTAGGGTTTTCTACGTTTTGTACTCACCACTGGAGCAGTCCAGTCCTCCCCAGCCGGGCTCACACTGGCAGGTATCAGGAGAGACACAGCGTCCGTGGGCACACTCTTCAGTGCACAGCGCTTAGGAGAAAGAAGAAGACACCAAGATTAATATCAAAGCCTTCCTTAAATCCACCTGGGTCTCTCTGTGGCTATATCAGTACACCTTTACAGTACCAGAGCTTAAATCAAACAGGTTGAGTTCATAAATGGTGAGCAGGTGTGTTGATCCAGCTACAATCATGATGTGTATTTGCGTATATATTTGAGAAGTTAAAGCTTCACCTTTTCTATATTCTTTCTTTCTTTTCTTTTCCTTTGCAAAAGTACCAAAATATAGCTTTTATGTTTGACTGCAGTCAAAATAATTCAATGTATAAAAATTGCAGTCTGTTATTTAAAACTGCTTATTACATTTTCTTCAGAAGACTAGTTTGCTTTTTTAACATCAAACACATCAAAACATTTCTTCCAAGGTTTGATGCTTATGATCTGTAATCTATAAACACCTTATTGTATAATTTCTTTATATTTCTCTGAATGATTGAAGGGTATGGATTTTTCATCTATCAAATATAAAACATAGATTGTTTATTTATTTAATAGAATTTTCCGTCTGTATTTGACAACCTGAGAATAAGAACAGGTTGTGAAGTATGTAGGAGAAACTACGGTAGCTATGAAACTCACAAAAAATGCAAAAAGGCCCTATTTACAGCAAGTTTGGTTTGTCCTTTCTGGGCTACTGTAGAAACACGGTGGTTCAACATGACCCACAGCGTTTGTAGATAGAAACAGCTCATTCTAAAGGTAAATCTTCAGTTGATTATATACTAATAAAAACATACCTGTGAATATTATTTTCCATTTCTGACAATAGATCCTTCTCAATGTTACACACTGGACCTTTAACAAGGTGTAGAAACCTAAAATAATGTTCATTTAGTACATTTAGAAATCTTTTGAATCACTATGTTTCAATATGATGAAAAACAGGTACTTTTTTATATTTATGACTCAATTTCAATGCTTTTTCAATTATTATAGTTTATTGATTTACAGGTTGTACAGATTATATGGATATGAATCATTTCAAGATACTTAAAGTAATTATGTCACAATAAGCAAAAATACCAATTTAGGCACTGAAGAGTTTCAAATAGTTAAATGTTTCAGCCTCCATTAAATTTATATATTAGCATATTTTTGATGCTACAGTCACACAGATGTGAATGCAGGTGAGTCGCCTGCTGATGCTAAATGTGGGCAGTGCAGGATGTCCTGTACACGGAAATCGTGGAGGCTCGACTCTGTTTTATGTGTCAAACACATCAGAGTTATTATAGTTTTAACCTTATTTTGTTTTACAGTTTTTATTGTTTAAAAAGGTTTAGCTTTAGTTGTTTTTTATTATGATAGAGGGGGATTTATCAGTATAGGTATTACATACAAGGGGTCAGCTCTATGTTCCCACAGCCCTATGTTCCCCTCATTCCTAGGACATTTTCAAAATTAGGTCTTGTGTTCCTACACTGGGTTAGGGTTAGGGGTTAGGGGTAGGGTAAGGGAATAGGTTGGGTGGAATTGGCTAAGAAAGAGGGATAAAATCTGATACAAATTTATGAAAAAGGAAATGTGGGAACATAGGACCTAATTTTGAAAAAAATCGTAGAAATGTGGGAACATAGGCACACTCCCACATACAAACATCCCAATCTCAATATGCACCAACGCCTCCTCATTGTTGACAAATCTGACCAAATATATATTTCCATTTTAGTTCATTTCATCAAGTACAGAATAGTTCTCTAAAGTCTAGTTTCTGTTTTTATTTTAGTTAACTAAAATCTTTGAACCACACAGACGTATTTGCTGATGGTCCAATGTTGATCTCCACAAGAGGCTGAGATGTGATTCGCCAGCAGAAGCAAAGTTTTGTTTTGTATTTGTTTTAATCTGCATTAAGTTTTACTGACATTAATTATGTCAGGATGAGACAGATGATATAAAGTTGTTAAACTTTAATAACAAACTATCTGCATAAATCTATGCACAATTATTTGTGTATATTCACTAAAACAATCTTCAATAAAAAGTACAGAAACTACTCGTTCTATAATACTTTGTATTCAAGAGAAAAAATAAAGTTTAAGCAGCTTGAGGCTAAAATCCACTGCTCCTGCCCCTGTGGTTTGACCTCAGGGCAGAAATGAATCGTTTTTCAGGCCTGAACAACCTCGTATTTAGTCCATTATGTTTTCACACCTACTATAAAACTTGAATAAATGCATTCTGTTACAATCTTGACAGTTTTTCACATTAAACAAAAGACCAAAAAGCAACTGAACTCACTCATTAACTTAACATGTAGGAGAAGATGTATGTGTGGACTTTTTAAAATGCAGTTTTCATATTTAACGTTTTCACAGAGGCAGCGTGCAGTGTGGCCGTCTGTGTCTGACTGTGTGTCTGATTGTAATTGGTGCAGTTATTTGCGATTCTAAGGGCAGTATTATTTTTGACCTCACTTTTATTGTTTAAGCTGAGCATGAGAGAAGATTACGTGTTCATTTTCAGTTATTATCGTGCGCTCACAGTAAGAAGTTTCCGCCCTAACTGATTGGTAGAGGTTGTCAGGGCAGCATGCCACCTGAGAGGAGCCCATGTATCTCCGCTATATGTTATTAGTAAAAAAATAAGAATTATATTGAGAATCTTTATTGAAGTATTTGTTTTACAAGTTGAGCAGGAAAAACTGTCAAACTGTGACAGTAAAATACTGT